CGGGAGCGAATGCAAGAATTTCGGCAGGCTTTGTGTGATTTCGTGTGACACAGCTCGGTTACGAACACAGACAGTATGCATCTAGTTTACAAAAAAAGATTTGATGTTTTTACCCTTTTGATATCTAATGTTGGAACAGTATAACATATTTATCTTTCTATCCTTATATCTATCTGTCTATCTACCTCTCTGTCTATCTGTCTGTCTGTCTGTCTGTCTGTCTGTGTGTCTGTCTGTCTGTTTGCCTGCCTGTTTGTCTGTCTGTCTGTCTGTCTGTCTGTCTGTCTGTCTGTCTGTCTGTCTGTCTGTCTGTCTGTCTGTCTATCCTCTGCTTGTCTGTCTGTCTGTCTATCCTCTGCCTGTCTGTCTGTCTGTCTGTCTGTCTATCTTTCTGCCTGTCTGTCGGTCAGTCTGTCATTCTGTCTGCCTGCCGACCTGTCTGCCTGTCTCAGTCTGTCTGTCTATCTATCTATCTATTTTTTTCAGGTGGTGATACTTGTTATAGACTGCACAGATAGAGAGCGGTTAAGTTTAGTCAAAGAGGAGTTCTACAATATGCTGGCAAATGAGGTATGCATAAAATTGTCTTTTGTGTTTGCTGGTTTGTGTAAAACGTGTTTCTTCGTAGTTGGGCCAGAAATTTGATTAAAATTGTAGTTAGTATTAGCAAATGTTTGTTACCTCTGATTAACTCATTATGCCACAATAAAAAGGTGATTGTTATTCATGGGGGTGATTATTGCACTGTTATGCTGCTTTGTCATTGCAGGACTTGGTCAAGTCAGTCGTGTTAGTGTATGCTAATAAACAAGATGTTAAAGGATCCATGACTGCAGCAGAAATTTCAAAGTACTTGAACCTGACGTCTATCAAAGCGCACACGTGGCATATACAGGCCTGCTGTGCATTAACAGGAGAAGGGTAAATTCACTGCTGACTTTCCTTCTAATTAGGTCCACATATGCTGTTTTAGCTCTTCAAAACTACAGTAATACACCATGTTGTGGAAGTTCGGGTTACAAAAAATTCATCCATACACAGTTTGTAAATTATTGCCACTAAACTCGGATACGAAAGACCTAGTTAAATTTGACCATTTAAAATTTTTAATAAATAAAAATAAAAATTAAGGTGCTCGCCTAAAGGTCAAAGGTATATATATATATATCAGGAATAGATAATAGGGAAGGAGTGTGACATAACTATTACATTTTGCTTACTTTTGAAATTTAAGTGAAAGTCATTTGTGTTTGTGTATTATTTATTGAGGTATCAGAAACATGTTCGTAGGCCCCAAACATAAATGACTTTCACTCAAATTTCAAAAGTAAGCACACTGTATGCCTAAATTGCATCATGAATGAGAATTTTTAACAGCACTAGAGCTAGGTTAGATTATTTGGATAGTGGGGCAATGCAGTCTGCAGAGCATTGCCACTGAGCACCAGGTACCTGTACATTTGTCTCAATTAGGTGATGATTAATTATTATAATATTGTATAGCTAATATGAATCAATAATATTTTTTTCCTATTTATGGTGTAACTCTGCTATAAACTTAATAATATAGGTGGAGAATCGAAGAAGGTGGAGGTGAGGTAGGAGTTGGAAGTGTGGGAGGGAAGAAGGTGGAAGAGTTAGATGATGGAATGGCTGTGAACACATGGCAGAAGCAGAGTAGTACCTCTACTCCATCCACCTTCTTATGCTACCTCCTCCACATTCCACCTCTTCTCCCTTCCTGTGTACTTCATCCAACATCCTTTGTTGCACATCTGATAGACTTTGTAGTATTACTTAATGCATCTACCTGGAAAGATTGGGCAGAATGTTTAATTCTTTATGGAATCTTAAAATATAAGGCGGGGTGGATGGATGGTACTTTTTAAATTTTACATGTTTTTGTATATTAAAATGCTATACATAACTCCCACGTTACTACTTGCAATTTTTTTATGTGATGAGTCCTCATTTGCGCCATCAACAATGTAGTATGAATCACTTTTTATTATTATTTTTGCTACTTTCCAGAACACAAAGTGATCATCGTTGGTTTAGATAATGCTGGTAAAACCACAATATTATATCAATTGTAAGTATATTGGCAGAAGTTTTTAGCATGTGAGCTAGAAGTCATATTATATCAGGAGTTAATAATGACAAAGGAGTAAGACACCTCTTTGGTACTGTTTTCACTACATTTTTGTCGTACGAGTTCGATGTGAATAAAAATACAAATGTATACAAACATGAGCTTCTTTTGTTCACTGGTCCTTATTCTATCTTCCGGTAGTATTACAAACCGCGTAGCTTCTTTCGTTTTGACATAAATCATACTTTTGCACGACATGGTTTTCACGTTATTCACCGTCGTGTGGCGAGGCCAAGCGGTAAATTCGCATACACAGGCTACCACAGCAACTCGAATGAGGCACGGCAAGGATCGAAACACGAAGGAAGCTACGCGGTTTGTAAAACTACCGGAAGATAGAATGAGGGCCAGTGAACAAAAGAAGCTTATGCTTGTATACATTTGTATTTTTATTCACATTGAACTCGTACGACAAAAATGTAGTGAAATCAGTACCAAAGAGGTGTCTTACTCCTTTGTCATTATTAACTCCTGATTATATGTTAGTCTCTATAAATTGGTGTGCTCCAAATCACGGTAGCAACAGATACTACTGATCACAAATGAAACTACAACTGATTGGCTATGGACAATTGCAAAATTATCTTATTGCATTGCCTTATTGTTAAATTTTAAAAACAAATGAAGAAGAAATTTTGAATGACAGGTGTAATATGTCGCCAAATTGGATCGTGTCTAATTCGGTTTGCTATATGGATCTAGTGAGGAGAATCGAAACAGACATTTCATCAGATTATCAAGACTCATTGATCTGTTTGTTAAAATAAACATGCCATCTGAATATAATCATTGTAATGTATCTTATGCAGTTTGATGGATGAGGTGGTTCACACATCCCCAACGATAGGCTCCAATGTCGAAGAAGTGACGTGGAAAAACATACGCTTTCTCATGTGGGATATTGGTGGACAGGAGTCAATACGAGCTGCTTGGCATACTTACTATGCAAATACAGAAGTAAGAAATACAGCGACACATGAGTGCATTGGGTGTAGATATGTATAAGACCTGCATATAAATTTTATTAATGACATGGTAAACGCCCGCCGTTTGTTACAAGTGTAAAATGATTTTAAATGAAAACAACCTAAATCAACTGATAGATATGTTCAGGTTTAATAAATGGGATGTAATAACTTTGACTACTTTAAAATTTGTGTGCCAAGACTTCACAGCGATTAGTAAATTGTATTTTTCTCCATATTTTTGGAGGCCAATTTGTAACTAGCATGATTTCAAAATGAATTCAGCTTTCTATACCCTTGCCTCACTGTGATCTATTACAGAGGTCGCATCCACACACTCCCAAACAACTATCCCTCACCCCTGTTCTGTCCTTATGTGCGTGCATGCGAGCATTGCACATGAGTGCATGTATTGTACCACAGACACTTGGAGTGTTTCAATAAAATATAATGCTAAATAAATATGAAATATATTTACTACCAAAGTCTTAATGTTTCTATACTCTCTTTCACCTATTATTGCCGACAATATCCTGTAAATGCTGTCCAAATGCTCATCTGCAACAAACGCTGGCTGCCGCTGCACACTGACACATAAATATATAGCAGGTAGGGGAGCGTGCTGCCAAAATTTGCTCGACGCTCTCTTTATTTCATACGAATACAACACAAATATTCAACCATTCTACTCCATCTTTGTTTCTATTTGAAGAACAGTGTTCACTTGTTATAAAAACATACTGTCTGTGTTCGTAGCCGAGCTGTGTCACGCCGGAAACTCACACAAAGCGCTGACTACAATTCTCGCAGTTCGCTCCCGTTGGCGCCAGTTTATGGTTAATAATCGCTGTTCGGGAATTTCCAGGATAACACCCACCTGGCGTCGCGCTTCGTGACCTCACTTTTTGCCGGCTCGGCCCAACGCCTTGCAACGTTTTTGCAACGCATTTTTCTTACTGGTCGGGCTTCGACTTGAGCAGCGTACTCTGGGAGTGTAAAGCATGGTGCTGTAGTTTCCCCATAAATGGTGTGCGGTTGTCCTATAGCCCTGTATCTTGAGCCATTACATAACTCGCGGCAACTGGTACCCGTTGAAGAGCGAATGCAACAATTTCGTTCGGCTTTGTGTGATTTCGTTGACACAGCTCGCGTTATCAAACAACAGAACCAGATGTTTTTATAACAATTGTGGAACCTGTTCTTCAAATAGAATCAAAGGATGGGATAGAAAATGTGGGTTGATTTGTAAATATTGGTGTTTTTGTTATCGTATGAATCAAGGCGAGCGTCGAATGGAAATTTTGGGCAGGCACGCTTTTTCCTACCTCGTATATATTATATGTCATGTGCAAGAGCTGGCACGCCATGCGGTTTTGTTGCAGTGTTTATGAGCATGTTGGACTGCATTTACAGGAAATTGTCGGCTATAATATTGATGGTGTATATGTTTTGAACATTAATATCGTATATAATAGATTGACATTTAGTAGCTTAGATTTTATTTTGAAGACGTTCCTATTCTGTGCATGCACTAGTTATCAAAAGATTTTGGGTTTTTTACTTTTATATCTAATGTCTCGAATCTAGTGTATAACATATTTATCCTTTATTCTTTTATATTTAGGCGTGTCGTATTCTTACCTCTCTTCTGTCTACTCTGTCTTGTCGTCTGTGGTGTCTGTCTGCTGTTTGTCTGTCTTCGTCTGTCGTTCTTGTCTTGTCTGTTCTGCTGTGTTTGTCTGTCTGCTTGTGTCTATCTGTTCGTGTTGGTCTGGTTCGTTTCTGTCTGTTTCGGCTATCCTGCTGCGTGGTCTGGTCTGTCTGTCTATCTCTGGCCTTGTCTTGTTCTGTTTTTCTGTCTTGGTCTATTCTTCATGGTCGCTGTCTGTCTTGGTCAGTTCTGTCTAGTCTTGTTCTGCTGCCGCCTGTTCTTTTTTGTCTGTCTCTAAGTCTGTGTCTACGTATCTATCTTATTTGTTTTTTGATGTTGTGATACTTTTGTTTAATATGACCTACACATGTATGGCATTGACGTGTTAAGTTTATGTTCAAAGAGGAGTTCTACTATATGCATGTGGCAAACTGAGGTTTGTGTAATAATTTATCTTTTTGTGTTTTTGGTTTGGTGTAATATAACTGTGTTTTCTTCAGTTGGTCTCATGTAATTATTTGATTAAATTGAACTTAGTTTTATATTGTCCAAATGTTTGTGACTCTGATTAACTCATTTGCCACAATAGAAAGTTTTGTGTGATTCATTCATGTGGGTGATTTTTATGCTGCTTTGTCATTGCGAGCGGTCAGAGTCTATTCGTGTTATTTTGGTATGTAATAAACATAGATGGTTTAAAGGATTCCATGGACTTCGCCAGAATATTTCCCAAGTACTATTGTCTTCTTATTGTTTTATACAGGCCTGCTGTTTTTAACAGGAAGAAGTTATCTATTCTTTCTAATTTTTTTTTAGCTCTTCAAAGACTACGTATTCACCATGGGTGGGAAGTTTTGTTGGTGTGTGGTGTTTGTGTGGGTAGGTGTTACAAAAAATTCATCTCTTACACCATGTTTGTATTAATGTATCACAAACTCGGATATGTAAAGGACCTTAGTTAGTATTATTTAAAATTTTTAATAAATAAAAATGAAAATTAATTGTCTTCGCTCTAAATTGGTCAAAGGTTATATTTTATATCAGGAATAGATATTTGAGGCGAAGGAGTGTGACTTATATAATATTGGTATATTCATCTTACTAGCCTTATATACCTACAGGGTTTACTACGCGTAACTCAATCCATACCTTTGAGCTCAAAGTCGCGACACGTACATCGCTGGCTAGCATCGTTTGCGAATCGCCTCGTATACACCCGCAATCCGTGGAGATACAGAATAAAACGTACACACGATTCTCCATTCTTTTCCATCAATCCAAAGACCATTGCGCGCCCTCTAATTTTCAAACAAAGGCCAGCATAGCCTAACCGAGTCAGGCTTGCTAACTCGGCGGGCCAATTGTTTAGATTTGGCCCGAATCAGCTGCTGCTTATTGCGGTGGCGTGCGCCTGCAGTGAAGGCAGAGCCAGGATATGTGCAGAGGTGGTGCCTTGTGTAGGCTGATGTACTCGGGTAGCAACAATGTTATTCTCGCCGTAGGTGTTTTGATGCTAATTCTCCAGCGAGCACATGCCCCTCGCCGAGTTAAGCAATTAGCGCATTAGAGTAGCTGCCTTTTGTTTGAATTAGAGGCGTTCTCATGGCTTTTTGGTGATTTGAGGGGCAAATGAAGTGGGGAGTAATCGTGTCGTCGTTTTTAGCGGTATCTCCGGCATTTGCCGGGTGTATACGAGGAAACATTTGACGATGCTTTAGTATATTACTGTGTCCGATTTGAAGCCCTCAAGTTGGATGAGTTACGGCCTGTGAGAGATCGGTAGGGTATTAGTGAGGCTAGGGTAAAGGACGGAATTTCCCTTGTTGTATTGATTTTACAGTCCTTTCCCTATTTTATATTTTTCTGAGTAGTATAATATATATGTATATTATATTATTAGCGTCATCTGACATAAGTGCAGATGCAGCTTGTATGAAGCGCTATGAGCGTGGCGTGCCGTGCGTTGGCGTTGATATAGTGGCGCAACAAATCTTAACGCCTCGACGTATGGTCACGATGATTCGGGGACGTGGGGGGCGGGGCGGAAGGTAATCAAGAAAACGAGTTGGAGATTGTTCAAAGCTGGGGGTCAAAGGATCACAAGGTGACAGAGGTGTAAAACAAGTGGGAACATTCCCTCCTTAACTTAAGGTATAGGAGAGGAAATGCAGATTTGCGGCACAATCTAACGCGCTCGACTAGGCTCGTGAGTCGGTGTATAGATCATGAGTAGACAAAAGCCATCACTGCTAGAAATTGGAGTTCACAGGTCAAAGGTCGAATGGGGCCACAGGGCAGCATTTATAGACATTTTCTGAGGACATAGTCTGTACGCGAGCGCATTGAAAAATTATTTGGCTTCAGCGGTGACTACCATTTTTATGGCTTTATCGAAACCGACATGAAATGTACTTCCGCTGACATGCGAAGAGTAAGTGTCTGATAACCTTTTGACCCTGAAAGGGAGGGTTCAACATGGATTTGTTGACTGTTAACAAAGGACTGAACTGCTTTTGCTATTATTAGAGCCCATACCTGTGTGGATGTGAGGCTACATTTGCAGTTCAATTGCAAAGACAAAAGTTTGTTGAACAAGGTTTACACTCCTTAAAACATATTATTTTCTAAAGCAGTCTGCATATTAATAGCACTCTGAATAGAATGCTAGCGTGGCTACCGGCATCCGAAATGTAGGCAAAAACCCGGGGGCAATCCATTACTGATGCATGGGGGTGAACTGGCACTTTTCTAATAAACATGCACACCTGCAATACAGATGTGTTTAATTTATTACTCACAGCGGAGCCAAATTATTGCCTGCCTGAATATACGTGGATTTTAGCCTGTACATTTCAGCAACTCAATGGAATTAGGTTATCTCTGCTTTCTTGACTTATCACCAATTCACGAAGGTTGATGCCATGTTTGATTATTGATTACACTTGCACGCGCCATCTCGCGGCAACTATAGGCCTAGTGATACATTATGACACAAATATATATAAGACAGTCGAGCAGGTATGAAGTAGGATGCATTGTTAGGGTTTAGTTTTAGTGTTAATACCTATGCTACACAGTTTTGATGATGACGTAGCCAGTTTAGCGATAGAACAGGCTTTCAACCTTTTGCAGAAACGAAAGCCAGTACAGTAGAGCAGCAGATGAGCACTGTCGCTGTTGCGGCACTAGTTAGATATATATATATATATATATATATGTTTCGTTGTGTTTACCTTCAAAAATAGGCGTTAATTTTTTTTTACAATTTGCTGTGAGCTACATATGGAATTTTATCTAAAATGTGTTGTTTTATATGGTTTTTTTTAAAGGGAAACAATTTCGTTGCTGGACGCCCACCAGGTTGCTTGCAGTGCACCCCTTTTTTAATCTCGATCCACACCTGGCAATTAGAGAAATGAGTAACAAATAGTGAACTGCGAATAAGTAAATGTGGCAATTGGGGAAAAAACCTATGATAAGAGGGGGATTGCTGTACCTTGAGCGACATGAAAAGTAACGTATCCTTATTCAGTTATTAACATTTATTACAGATTGAATAGTGGCCTTGAGTGGGTGTGCTCGAAGATCAAGGTGTAGTCATGACGAAGTATAAGACAGTGTTGGGATTCTCCCTGTTACTGGCGTGGGAAACGAGTGGCACAACACAGTGTGTAAGAAATGACAGCTCCACACAGAAAGTGCTTACTGTTGTGATAGCCAATGTGATGCAACAGTGTCGCAGGCGTGCGAGGGCTGGAAAAGTCAGCTATCCGACATCTGCATGACCTTGAAGTGCTAGTCTAAAGAACGTCACTGCTCAGTGAGCAAGAAGCTGACAGGTTTGCGCGTGCGTGAAGTCGTGGACCTGTGTAGCGCATCCACGTATGTCAGCAACGTCGCACTTCTGTCCGAGGGAGTCGATTGTTTTTAAGTTGCCAGACTCCACTTTTAAACATCTACTAAAGGAAAAACTGGGGCATGTGGTCTTGTTGTTGGCAAAGACACAGCGAAGAGTTGCACTCCCAGCGACTAGTGACCATCATCATTCGAATGTTGCGTTTGTAAATTTGCTTAATGTACGTGTATGTCTCAAACAGTGAAGTGTGTCGACAGGGTATTTGTTCATTCAACGTGAGCAGGGTGAACTACATTTTATATCGCAATGAAAATGAAGCTCTTTTTTATTCACCTGTTGGAAACTAAATTAGATTTTCAGATTTTCTAGCCTCACTATTAATGATGATTAGGTGCAGTGAAAAAAATACACGGGGGCTCGGAGCGATTTAGCCCCCGAAATGCCAAAAAGAGCCTCGGAAATGCCCAAAAGAGCCCCCGTAAATTTGCATAGAGTTCAATGCAAACCAAATTTTAGAGTGCTATTTTCATGCACACGAGCTTGAAAAGTAGCCTCCGAAAAATAAATTTTTTCCCTGATTAGGTGCATTTGAAAGCCAAGTGAAACTGACACGATGACACAATACAGAGTTTGTGTTGTACATAAATTAAATTCGCCTGCTTTTATTTGGCATCATTTCACAACATTTGAAACTGCTCATTGAAATTCCCCTACAAAAAAGTTGTTGTAGAATAACAGCCATTCAGCAGGTGGTTGTCTGTAATATCAGGAAATGATCTAGTCCATGAAATTTTCCCTGAACAGACGTGCACGACAAAGTTCAGACTAATGTTGCAACGTCAGTTCAAATAAATTAAATGCGATGTTGATAGTATACATTCTACAAGACAGTCTGTATGAAAGTTGTTGCGATCATAACTGTCTTCCAGATGTACCTATTCAGTTCTTTAACAATAGGCAACATGTAATTTCGCCACAGCATTGCCAGGGTCTGTTTTAGTCTACCATGTATGTGGGCACACTTATTTGTGATATTACTTATCATTACCGGTAAACGCCGCTTGAGGTATAGCTTGATTATTGGTCATAATATTATTACAGAACCTCTACGTTTGCAGTCATAAGTATTATCATGAACATATATGCATATATGTGTTCATGGTTTTATAAAGTAGGCAAAAAAGTTCATCCTCAGGATAAAGTTCGTCATTTTGAAACTCGCAGCACATCTTCACAAATCTACGTTATGTGCTGCACCCGAACTGCCAAAGTTATATATTTCTGTCTGTACAAATATGTGTAGGTATTTTGTGGCGTTTGTTATATTGTGTTAAAATTTATTTCACTGATTAGTTATTGGTGGATAAAATAAAATGTGCTTGAAATTATGTCTCTGTAGAAATATTATTATTGTCGTCTGCTGATACCACTGACACCAGAAGAGCAGTAACGCAAAGAGACTATAATTTAGTAGTATCATAATATCATTTTGATTATACTTGTATTACAACACTCCAAAATCATTTACGTATTGTTAACGATTACTTCTGTAATGCTGAAGTATCTAAAAAGAAAAAATTCTACACATTTGTGCTAATATTATGTCTTCTGTTGTGATTTCAATAAAATAAATCCATTATAAATATTTCTCTCATATTTATATTTATTGGTTTACCTTTACGTACCCTCGAATGCCTGCATCGATGTCTTCTTTGGTTTTTGGTTTAGAAAATTTGTAACAGCGCGTATGCTGACAATCGTGGGTGATGTTACGGAGGGCAAATACGAGGAAAAGATGCAGTCACTTTGGCCACGGTATGCTCTGGGAGACATAAGATGTGTAATGTCCTCCAGAGCATAAGTTATTGTCATAAACTATCATATGTACCGCAAGACGTGATTTTATACATAACGTAAGTCGTGATTCCCATTCTAAAAATTACCGTTAGCGTGAAAGCGTTTACCGTAAATTTCATTTGTATTGAGTTTTTATAAGGACTTATTAAGAACTTACGTTAAGAACTTACGTTGAAGGACTTATTAAGGACTTACTCTTGATAAGTATTTACTGCGAACTGAGAGAGGTTTAAATACTCACTGTGAACTGCGATTTGGTTCACTGCACCAGGACCTTTCTCCAGATACGTCGCTGCAGTACAAAATTCGCTCAGCTTATATGCATGTTGCCGTGCCATCCCAGACAGTCCCTCTCACAAACACGCAAACACTCACATACACAGATCGACGCACACGCACGCACACATACACCACACACACACACACACACACACACACACACACACACAACACACACACGACACACACACACACAACCGCGGGCGCGTCAGCTACTCACTTCAAATCTCTGATAATAACCATATTTGTTGTATGTTATAGAGAATCAGTGGCGTACGCCGGCGTACGAAAATACATATTTTCATGTTCATCATAGATTGACGAATGAAATAATAAGAATAGTACAGTATAATAATTCAACGCAGAACAACGAGAGACACTTCGGTTATAGAAAATAAATGAAAAGTTGGCCATAAGCGCTATTTTCCGGCTAGCGTCTATATTATATTCCGTGGTGTCTTTCTGAATCTCAATGACACGCTGCTACTGTCCAACGCACGCCACAAAATGCACTGTACGTGAATTACATAAGCTGCTTCCTGTCATATTGCTCCTCCCTTTGACTTCATATAACCTTTGATATATTATACTACGTTGTCTCTTTATTCATTTCTATAGAAACTAACAGTAACCAATTGAGATGTCTAATCGTCGCATGTAGGGTGTGATGTTATAAACCGAATCCATGCATGGTGGCATGGACGAAATTAGCCTAAGGATTTGTTCTGTCATAGCTAGGTTTTATTTCAATGAAAGCACTTTGTGCGGGCGGGGGTAGGCCAGGCTGGGGTAGGGACATTTACATTACTTCAGATCAAATGCGAGGCCAGTCGCGGGAGGCCCTTTCCCAAATTATATATTTTTCTTTGTATATATTACTGTTTCGTACACCCGCAATGGTTATATTTAATTCAATTTTATTTTTATCAAGCATGAATTGTTCTCAAGTGGGCCGCGGGCCGTGGCGCACCTGAGGATTGCTGGCACAGACAAGTTTGGGGGGGGCTCGCGTGCCCCCCAGCGCCCTCCGCGGTAACGCTACGTCCTGCATCCCATGCACTTATTCATTACACAGGGGGGATTCGATTAGGTACCGTATAAAAAATCTGCCTTTTCTTAGTACAAATACTTTTTTAAATTCAGACCCGCGACAATGATTGTTAGTACAATAGCATTAATGCTCTATTGGAATTATTTTGGCCAACTCAAATTTTAGAACAACACGCGTGTATTCATGTTGTCATTTTATACTGTTACCTATCAAGTGGGCTCAGCTATCTCTAGCGAAAAATTCGAAGAGACCAAAATTGAGTCGCAGCAGCCATTCAACATCCTAATAATTATTCTACCATTCAGAGTGTGGCTTAATCTTTCTACCACGTCGAATTATAGTATAGATACCACCATTGCACGCAACAACCCCTACCACCGTGAGATGCCATGCTACACACGCTTAATTACGCACGCACTGCCGACACACACACAACAGCAACACGCTTCTGGCGCGCACGTACAATGTAACACGTCTCTCACGACACACGTACACGTACCATGCATGCACGCACGTGCGCAAACGCTCTGTTAGAAGTTCTGGAAGAGTATTCCTTGACAAACGAGAAGAACAGCGCGGATCCGAGGCGATATAGCGCATGACAGAGGCCCGCCCGTTATCGTGTATGCATCGTATTTCACGTCACCTTTCTATTCGAACGAGCTGTCTGAGGCAGTGACTCGCGATACCTCCAGCACGGTGCTAATTTACATGCGGAACCTCTCGGTTCTGAGAAATACACCGCGTGCGCGTAGCGACAAGTAATAAATAACCACAGAAACTGGTGTATATATTATAATACTAGCTGCTGGTACCCGGCGCCTGGGTAAAATCGCTGCTACTAATTTCATAGGCTACTAATAAATGGGACACAATTATGGACATTGGGTAAAAATCGACAATAAACATCTGCTCACGAGAATATGAATGATTTAGAAATCAAGTCTATAAGATAAATAAGCATGCGGAAAACTGTTACGTATGACATATTAATGACAGCACAACCAACTGTAGAACACGCGAACATAATAGTAAATCATGGTGAATGACAGAAAAGTTATTTAAACAGCATGTACGATATGGTTGGACGTTTCTCATTTGAAAACCTCTATAAACAATGTTTTTCGTGTTATTCTCTGGTGGAAATAGTGTAAAGTATCCTGGCTCTGAGCGGAGCCCCGCCCGTCTGAACGTTTGTCTGCCCACGATAGGCTATGCACGTATGCAGCGTACAGCATGTACGAATGGTTTGCGCTTCTGCATTTCAAAGGGCCTGATGATAAACAATGGCAGTCGTACTTTGAATGGTGTGTGTCTGCCCTTTATCGAGTGTCTCGGTTTGGGTTTCACAATCGTTTCGGTTTCGGCAGCTGATGGAATGAGTGATGCGATTTTTCTCTGTGTGGCAGCACTGTGTACGAGTAGTGCTGACAATGTGTTTGGAAGATTCACGAATTGAGGGGTTTTCACGATTTTTCGTGCTGGTTTGACGGGCGATTGGACGGTTTTTTTCAGCTACGAACCACTCCGCCGGGTAAAGAATGGCCCTGTGAAAATTGCATCCAGTCGACTGGGCGTGGGTGGCGCGCCTATAGGGAAGATACATACATACATACATACATACATACATACATACATACATACATACATACATACGAACTCAAATATATATTAGATATATGTGCGTGCGTGCGTGCGTGTGCGAGTGCGTGCTCGTTCGCGTGTGCGTGTGTACATGTGTAATGGGCTGGCTGGCTGGCTCGCCACAACATGATCGTGGAATCACGAACATTTACATCAGGAGTAGATAATAGGGTAATAGATAATAGGGTAATAGGATAATAGATCCCTATTATCTACTCCTGATTTACATGCTATTCGTTACCTGGAATAGCTAGCATTCATACTACAATATATTATACAAAACGTACTAATGTAATAATGAAATCCCTACTGTTAGTTGTATTGATTTTAAAATAAGCTCACTCTAACACATTGATAAAGGGAAGCGTTCTCTTAAAAATGAATTTAATATGAATAAAATGTACGGCTGTGAATATAATCAATTGTATTGAGTGTAACACAGTTTCAAAATGTAATCAGAGAAGACGTACCGCTCTACCCTGAGATCACCCGTTCACAGTGCGTACTTAATTGCAACAGCCATCCGTCATTCAAAACGTTGGATCCGCCATTACATTTTACATATTCGCGTTTAACGTCTGTTACGTTTCCAGTAGCTTTCTGTGCGGTGCAATCTAGGATATCCATGCGTGGAACAGTTTTATTGCAGGCGATACCAGTATCCGATACCAGTATCCGATACCAGTATCCGATCCCGTACCTGATATCCTGAGGGTTTTGACGCGATTTTTGATTGGGTATCAAGTAATTTTACACCGAATAAATCATATATGATACGAGTTGTAATTAATCATAAAATGCTTTAATTCATCCTAGATGAAATATACATAATCAACGTAAAAATAATTAATTTTAAATACGATAGTGAATCATAAGCGCAATGCTCAATTGTTCGATTGTGATTATAACGTTTTCTACAACCTCCGCGATGTGGCGCCCGTGTCCGAACTTGGAATCGCGCATTTTGTAGTGTTATCATATGTGATATTAGTTTTCTAATTAGCGTCTTTACTGTTAATATAAGCACATTATGATGAAACGAAAGAACACAAGTCGTATATTAGTTGATTCTGACTCGTCTGACAGCGAAAGTGGTGCGGATTTGGACGAGGTTTGTATAGAGATAGGCCCACCTCACGTGCGGTGTGCAGTGTAAATTGAAAATACTAAGTTACAAGTTTCAACTACAACTTAATACATTACAAGTTGAAGTACAACGGCCGTCTCTGCTCAATCCTAGTTTGGGACCCCGGTATATATAGTTGGCATATGTGCTAAACTAATCCGGGGTGGTAAACTAGAATGGGGTCGCCGTCTGCATGCTAGTCAGTGGCGTAGCCAGGATTTTGGTTCAAGGATAGAGAACATGGGGATTTTTAACAAGGGGGCTAGCTCCAAGAAACGGTATTGCTAGGGTTAGAATACCGTATAGACAACACGTCTAGGAATACGATGTCTATACGTCTATATACGTCTATACGTCTACGTATAGGAATACTGTATAGACAATCCGTCGCACAGCCTGGTCAGGCTACAAGGGGGCCAAAAACAGCGAACTGCGCAAAATAGTGGATGACTTAATATTTTAATGGTTCCTCCACCTCCCTCTCCGCACCCTACGCTCCCCACCCCCCCAGCTCTGCAATCTTTGTTTTGGGCGCCATGCAAAAAGACGACATTTTTGTTCGTTGTTCTCTGATATGTAACTGTTCAGGCCATAATAAAAATATTGACTGTTTGCCCTCACCTGGCCGACCCGCCAAAAAAGGGCCGACTCACAAAATTTTATTGATTTTTCCCTTTTTTTTTCTTTTTTTTACAAATTGTATCACGTACATTATATAAATCTGTAGGCAATACATTATATGTACCAAGCAAAAGAAACATTCAACATAAAAGGTATCTCCACACAAGCACACCCGAGCATGTAGACACCATGCTGAATTTGTAAAAAGAACCCCCTCAAAAAAAATAAAAAGGCTACCTACCTACCCAAACTTTTCAGCCTGGTTCGGGTGAGGGCAAACAACAATTTTTTTAATTGTGGCCTTAGTGGCGGATCCAGGATTCCAAGGAAGGGGGTGAAAAACAGGCGGGGTGTTGCATGGGGGTCTTCCCCCAGAAAATGTTGAAAATGTAGATTGCAGGAGATGGTATTTGAGACACTTTTGAGTACATTACATGTACATTACGTGTAATATTTGGTTTCAGTCACAGTTTTAGTCACAATTTTCATTCAAATTATCTCTTTTATAGTACTTATTCACTAATTTTTAGCTCATCTGACGTAGCCAGGTGCAGCTTGTAGAATAGCATAATCGTCCGTCCGGCCGTCCGTCCGTCCGTCCGTCAACAGTTGGGCACAAATCTTAACGTTAACCGCTCCACGTACGGTCACGATATTCGGGACGTGGGGGGGTAATCCGAAAACGAGTTGGGATGTCGAAGCTGGGGGTCAAAGGTCAAAGGTGAGCGACAGGCGATCATCTAAGCGATCTACTGCGGTGAACTCTGTGGTGGAGTGGTGGCATTACTACGTAAAACGCAGCTGTTTCAGCTCCCAAATGTGTTAACACTAGCATGGACGAAACGTGGGAGACATGGCACAGGGATTGTGATCACACAGGAACGCATTCTCCAAAAAGGAATGTCTCGTTGGCAATCCGTATGAAAAGTCTGCCAACGAGATGGGCGCGTAGAGCTTTCAAAGTGTCTTCAGATTAAAGATGGAAGCTGCGGCAATCAGTACGTAGTAGTAATAATTAGGTATCAGAAGTGATCATATTTCAAGTGGCATGAAATTTTTATAAGCTTTGCTGGAATTTAGTACTACAGCTCATGAAAAAGACAACATTTCTGATACGGCTCATTTGTCCAACCATTTGAATGTATACTTTATTGAGATATTGGCTTATTTAAAAAGTTCATAGGGAAGGGTCGAATTTTGTTTAAATTACGGGGATAAGCTGATATAATCAAGTAATCAATTTGGGGGCACAGTCATATCTCGGAAAATGCCAACCACTTCAGCTGACCATTGAACCGCTATTTGTCATGAACCTTAAACCAGCGCTATAGGCATAGCAACCTCTGCTATTTATTCTTTCGGTTGTGGAAAAATTTAAATTTTTTTAATGATATTTTTGAAACTACCGCACTTGTACAGGCATATTCTACTAGCCATGTCGTAAACAACTGCCAGCATTCTTTTAGCTAGTTGGGGCGCGCAAGAGATTGCTCATGGCATTTTCAAATCGCACATAAATTGCAAAACCGTACGGTAGCACAGAAGTATCTTTGGAGACGAAAAAAAAAAAGAAGAAGAAAGGAAAAAAACAAGGGGCAATAGGTATCAAGTTTAAAAAGCTCTGTGAATATGGACCATGACAGAATGTCCAGCTCATTATTTTAAACTGTAATCCAAACATAGGCGCGCCGCGACGCACGCCGCGCGCGGCGCTGCAACAGCGCACGCTGTGGCTCTAAACTGGGCAACGCAAGTGCACTTTTTAAAAACAAAAATGCATACCAAATCAGATCAAGGATAAAATGTAATTTGCCATATTTTCATTTACATAAATTTTTGAAATCCATGCTTTACTTTGTCTAGATAACTAATTCAGTCGTTTCGTCATAACATTGTTTATTCAAAGACGGGGCCTCAGTGAGTAAAGTACAACACCAGCTGTCAGGGCTTGGGGGGGCTGTAAGATCGGCCTAGCAACACATAAACAAAGCATAAACACCGACTCGGCGGGCCGCCGCCAGTCGTAGGACGCGGCAAGAATCGATAAAAAGATAGCAGGCGAGGCTGACTTAGTTCAGTCTTTAGTTCTATTTTTCCCAAACTGCAAAATATTATTAAACAGCAATACAATACGACCGGAAGGGATATAGTAAGAGTAACTAATTTTCGTGCAAAGAACGTGATTAGTTTGACGGCTCGAACTCGGCTTGAGATCAGATTGGGCCGGGCAAAGACGTTAGCATTGCCATCGGGCTGCGCCGGCATGATTCGTAAGCGCGAGCTCACTGAGGCGGCGCTGTGTTCAATGGCCTTCGTTCGTATAGCCTTATATTCAGGAGCCCTACTGCGGCTGCTACAAGGTCGCATTCTCCTGGCGGTGAATATAGGCTCACTTGGTGGGCGGGGGGCTTATGCGGGGCTGCTTCGTTAAATTCCTGGGCTCCATTTTGTATGAAATCACCGAAAATAGTTGCGACGTTAGCGATGAACAAACATAACGCGATTATAGAATCCTTAAACCGTCAATTTTATAGGAAATATTTTATTACGCTACGCGGGCCAAATAATTTCAGCATGAAAGGTGGTAAAGGGGCGGCGGGGCTAAAACGCGCGTGCTCTGCTGTGACTAGTTATGTTTTGGTTAAAAATGATTAGCTAGCAATCGGCAGTAAAAGGGCGGCCTGGGACTAAGAGCTTATACCCTTGCACGATGGCTTTTCACAATAGGCTTGGGCGAAGACGTAATTATGTCGCGCAGACGCTAGGGCGGCAGAGTGTTCAGGGTCTAATACCTCTGTGAGTGAATGGTAGTAATTTTAATGAAAAATACATAAAGTCAAAGAGTCTATACACTTCCACGCTGTTCAAATGTATATAATTTTCGGCGGGCCATTAAATAATAATCATTGGGTGGGGGCTAATTTCGCCTGTTGAAAAAGGGAAGCTTTTCTCTCACTCGCGGTGCAAGGCAGCGGAAGGCCGGCGAATATGTGCTTTACTTGATAGCGCTACGTAAATAACCTATTGCAGAGGCAGAATAGGCCTAAGGCGGCCTCATACCATTTATAGCCTAGCGGCAAGACCTAGCAGGGCCGAAATAGAGGCTGCCACCTGTAATCTAGACGCAAGCAAAACTACACAGTACGGGGCCGCTGGCAGTGGGCAATAGCGTTACATGTAAAGAAAGCACTGAGCAGTAAACGAATGGCCACTAGCCAATTTCGATTTAAGGAGGACAGTCAAACCTTCATCCTAACGCGCAAAATTATAGCGAGACTTCTAGAAAAATTTCACTGATGAGCATTGTTAGCGCTCCACATACTCGGGAACGGCATTATATAGAATTTGAGGGCTAGCAAACGCGGCGTCAATTCTTTCTAGAGAGTAACGTAAAGCAAATCATCGTTTAACGGCGCTGCCTACGGTTGAGGGTCAAGGTTATCCGACCACGTTACTCTCTAGCGAGCAGTCAGAGCAGAAAGTAATTTCATGGTCCTGTTCAATAAAGGCCATAAAACTCTCGGCCTCACCGGGTGAAAAAAAAAGTTCTTATTCAATCAGCATCCGTCAGAACCAATGGTCGCTCCACAGAAAAATGTCTAAAAATCTCTGCCACTGTGGGCCCCATATGACGCTTAGACTGAACGCAGGCGTACCTCGCAATTCTCGGACGGCAGCAAGTGAATCAGGGCTTTTTCTGAACCGCATCGATGGCTAATCACCGCTATCACAAGCCTAGGTCCGAGGCCTTTTAGATTTGTGGGCCCGCAGCATATTGCTGGCATTCCTCCCTAGTGTACCGTAAGTTAAAGGGAATGTTTCCGGCCCTTCCTTTTAAGCAGGGCGCAGTCTTTGACCTTGATGCAACGCTCTTGAGCCGGGCCGCCGAGACTTCGACATTCCAAATCGTTTTCCGGATTACCAGCCCGCTCCACTGGTCCCGCATTATGTAGACGCCAGCAGGCAGGGTAGGCGTGGAGCGGAATTAACAGTTGAAATTTGTTGGGCCCAACTGTTGACTGACGGACGGACGGAAGCGCTCCTCGGGCGACGAGGACATTTATACGCCTTCTCTA